CCATTACAATAGCCAAAAGACCCTGCCCTCCCACCCACTTAAAGGAAAATTCACTCGCAGCTTTAGTGGCATAAGGTTTCCAAACGTCATCCTCAGACACAGAGGCCTAATATTCTTGAACGAGTGAAAGTCCAGAATCCAACACGAGTTTAGTTTTGTTATCAGACATCATGTAATACTACTCACATTTCCACAGAGTTTGACTATCGCTCCAAGTGACAAAAATCATTAACTAAAGAGAATAATTAAAACCCCCAAAATAAGTTATTTCATGCACCTCACCAACTAAATTGTGTTTTGTCTGACTGTATGCCACACATCCAGCGTAAAAGAACTCTCCACAAAACCAAATCAACTTTAACTTGAGAAGCAGTATTTTTCCAAAAGTTGAAGAACATCCATAAAGAGGCTTCTGACCAATACTGTAAAAACAACACCCAATGTAGCCTTTAAGGAAACATTCCTTAGATTTGTAAGAAGGTTTCTTATCTAACACCTTTTCACTCAATTTCCAAAATATTTTGACATGAAAAGAATTCCTGAAAACAGCTGGCTGTTTCTTCAGCTAGAAAGAACTTAGAAGCAGAAATGTTTAATTTGGTTTTACATTTTGAAGCAGTTAACTAAAAGCATAAGTGCTCAATACATCTTTTTTCCTCACATCAATAGAGTAGTAGTTATCTGACATTTTTTGAGAAAAGCTCTTTTATCTTGGAACTTTTGAAAAAGTCACAGTATTTGACAGAACTACCCAGACACCTGCAGATAACAGGTCTCTAAGAAGTAGTTTTCATTCTTTATGTACTTTTTGAATAATTACAACTATGTATAGTCAAGCTCAATAGTACAGCTGTGCAAAAAGAAAAAAAAAGTCAATCCTAGGAGTGCAAGACTTAAAATAGGCTGTCTTTAATATCATGAAATCAAAACCCATGACATAAAGGTGATGAATGGAAAAACTGGCAGAGTGGAAAGAAACCATCCATTTTACTGGTCATGTGTTTTGCACTTTAGCCCAGTGAAATCACTTCCCAGCTTCCAGCCCAGACAGAGAATCCAGGCAGGAAGAAATGACATGTAAGAGTCCTCAAACAAAACCCTACAATGTCTCTCCCTGTCTCAGGGAAGGAACTGTATCTAGAACCACACAAGGAACAGACAGCAGCACTGATGTTTAAAACCTTCACTTATTTGTATGAAGGAGTTGTGAACAAAAGTGAAATTTTTCAGTCATTGAGTACCAAGTTGGACAAAACATTTTGAAAGAACAAAGAAGTAGTCATGTTCCATTTTCACTAAATATAATTATTAACACTTATTTTCTTTAATTAAGGCTTTTGTGATCTCCCCAGGAATCCATCTGAGAAAAGCACGGCAGCCTTAACCATTGAAGGTAAAGAGTTCATCTAGTACACTACATCACAGAAATGAATGTTCACACTTCCAATGCATCTAAAATATTAGATTTCTGATTTTATTCTGCTAAATACTAAAGTTTCACACGTAATTTTTTGGAAAGGACAGAGATACAGTACTAGATAAATGGCATGCAAGTCTATAAACACATAGAGGAAAAAAGGGTGAAAACAGCATTCCTTTTAAGAAATCAGCCTTTCATTCATAGAACACTACTACTAAGTTGTAGAGCTTTTGCCTAACAAAAGAATGGCGGAGTTGGGAACAGTTGATCAGGTCATAGATAGCTGCAGAATTCAAGCAAGCACAATAAGATTTCATACGATATACCTGACTGAAAACAGTACATTAAATACTGATATGGTATGAAAGTACACGTATCACGTTTCTGCTTACAATCACAAAGTTGCTACTAGCAACTTGACACAGGAGGGATCAAAAGCATAATGTATTAGAAAAGCCACAGGTTTTTTATTTCTTTTCAAATAAAGTTCTTTTACAAATGATGCCACCACAAAAAACAACGAGGACATGAAAAGCCCACATTGCAATTGTATGTCTGACAAATCATTTACAGATTTCATAAAAAATGTGCCTATCTTAAGTAAATTGAACAATCCAAAGGAAATCAGTCAGATCTGATTAGGTGTTTTTTTTCTTGCTCAGCTTTTTCAGATGTCATCTGTTGCACAACAACTCATTCAACCTGCACATCGGATTGAGTGAGGATTTTCATAGTATTTGCATGCTAGGTTTTCACTTCTCTCTTGCTTGTCGGGTGTTGCATGATCGTTAGAAAAGTGTTTTGACTAAAAGGCAGTATACTTGATGACAGAAAGACCCATGAGTTTGTTCAAATTAAGCAACTCATCAATGAAATGCAGGAAGAGCATCTGGACAGAATCTGAGTGCCAGCTGTGGCTACTTCAAATTAAAGTTCACTAACTGGTCCATAAAGAGCAAGCAGCATTCTTTCTCTGATTCTCAGCTCCCACTGCTTCTAGAAACCATGGTATGAAAATGGTGTAAGTAGGCAGCTTCCTCATTATATAGCAAGCAATAACCACACTCTTAGCCTGATGTTTCTCTTACAAGAAAACACACAAACAGTTGGGCATTAAACACTTTTTGACAGAGGATGATGGTATATCAAGGTATCAGAGTTATTCATTCTGCCTTCCCTAAACCTGTAATCTCTTCAAGGCTTTGCTAGTTGCTATAATTGTGGATCTTCAACTAAACCTTCCCCAAAAAGTTTAAACACAAATTGACTGTATGCAAAGGGCTAACTATATACTTATGCTCCCTAGATACAAACCACACATCTTTAGACTGAATACAGGCTCTAATGTGTGTCTTTCAGATAGTGTATCTCAGTAGTAAAGGCCATTTTTTACTTTTTCTCCCTTTAATGTCTGTGTAAAGGCAGTGATACAGACATCAGACTCCTCGCTGTTAAAAAAGAATTAAGTCACACCACAACTCTGTTCAATGAGTTGAGTCTGCATTGTTCTTCCCTCAGGATATTAATCTTTCTAAAAGCATTCTTGCTCTTCTTCACTGTTACCGTCTAATAGCAGTAATTACTTCTTGTTCTGTGTTATCAGATGTCACAGGTATTAAATGACTTTTTTTGTCATTAGATTGAAGTATCTAAAAAAGATTTTCTTTAAGAAGCAAACGCTGACAAAAGGAAGCACAGGAGCTCTGGTTTATACAGATACGTTTGCAAAGACAGATGCAGCAGATGTGCCCACAAACATAAATAGTCATTAAGAAGGTCAGAAAACTGCATCTGAAGAGCCAACTGCACATCCATTCTATCTATACACTCCTGCCTAAATGTAGTGGCTTAGAAGACACGTTCACATGTCAACCTCGTTTCACAACACTATGTAAATGATATATTTAATAACTGGAGGCAACTGAATTATCAGTCTTTAGTAAATCGGCTTGCATTTCTGTTATAAAGAGAACTACAATACCATCTTTACATACGAGACATCATGACTGGAAGACAAAGTGGGCTCATAAGGACAATCCAGAAAGCGTAGCAGAAAATAAACATTAGGATTTTTTATTATATATACGCATCCACAGTATATCTTCATCAACTGAAATTTAATCACCTTTTCACAATTTAGAGGAAAAGGCAGTTTTTAGGGTAGTTAAGCCATGTATCATCAATACCATGAAGCTAACCTATCAGTTATAATAGCTCCTATAAAATACCAGAGTGAAATTGCAATAAGCCTAGAAAATGGGCTACAAATCCCAGATATGCTCAAGCAAGCATTGAACCAAAAATAAAAATAGGTAGATAGGAAACCAAGAACTAGATAGCATTCATCTAATTCATGACCACTAGCAACAGAGATCACAGGCCAAGGTTTTAAAGCATCTTATTCAGCCCCAAATGGCAATTATTGGACAGGGACTTCAATTACAAAAACCTTCCCTCTTCAAAACAAGTTAAATTTCTAACAGTTCCTTTTAATTCTCTCCACATACAATAGCTCTTGTATTTCTCAAAGCACCTTATTTTGTTTAGGCAAATTAAAATTTGAAAACATTTAATGTTCTCAAATAATAAAGAACATTGATCTTGCAGCATTTATAGTGCTGGGATACATTTATTACACACTGATAAAGAGTGTCCCACATTCTCCTTCTCTTCCAAACGCTATTCTGATAAGAAAGGAATAGACTACACTACAATGAATACATTTTAACATTTTAATTCAAGTCTCTCTTCTCCTCATGCCCTCCTCCAATGAACAAATTCTTAAAAATCATGAGAATCTTATTATAGAAAAACTACAGAAAAAAATTATTAGATTTTTTAGTACAAAATTTCGATTAGATTTTAGTACAAAAATGCAGAGACAGTTGGATTTTTTTTCCTTCACTTATAAACATTGCTCCTAGAGCTGAAGGCACTAAAAAAAACCCAAACATCTCTCATTTGTAGTCACAGGCTTAAAACAGACTCAGTCCAAAGGAATGCATGATGTCTACGACAGGTGCCTTACTAACTTGCTTTAAAATTTCTGCATATGCCCTTTCCCCTGACCACACAGAAGTCACTCAAACAAAAGAGAATAAGGACAGATTTTGCAAGCCAGACTTTTGGAAGAAAAAGAATAAAAAAAATAAACCAGAATTGTCCCACAATACCATCCTAGAATGCTTTCAATATCAGAAAAACTTAAAATAACTTTGGTTTGATTTTCATTGAGAAGAGAGAAACATGTTTTCAGATAGACATAACATATATACTGAAAATGTTAAGTCACACCCCCTCAAACCTTTTCCTTCACTCAGTTCAAAATAGGTACTGAGAAACAGTATCACACTGTTTCTGCCATTGAAGTACACACAAATATTCCATTACAATAGAATTCCTGTAGGAAGAGTCTATCTACTAAAAAAAGCAAACATGCAGTATCAGGCAGCAGTGGCACTGTAGTCTTACCCTTCCATTACCTATCTACAACATTAGGAAACAAGCATGAGAGGAATATGCTTTTTTAAAAAACCTTTAAGAACAGTGTACGTTAGCTTACAATAATAAAAGCACCTACCAATGCATTCTGGTTTCCTGAAGCCTTTTTTACGTTTCTTGCTGGCATTCCATGAAGATGACTAAATCTACTCTGGAAGCCTACAAGAAAAATATAAATTGATTTAAGGATATTTCCTATACCATATAACCAACAAAATTCACCATTACCTACCAATCTATCAACCTGACTTCAGTTACACAAAAGCATCTTAATATTGTCAAACATTGTACTGGTGGAAACAAAGAGCACAGAATGGGAAGACAGAAAGACTAAGTTGTCACGAAAATGAACATTTCTGCAGATATTCTTATTGCCATCCTGATTCTATGCACAGTTGGTTGCATGAGTAGAGCATACTGAACTACAGTAGGAAAGTGATTTTTACTTCACTTACAACTTCTTTAGTACTAGAAAATGTTAAATCTAGTCAATATGCAGAGACTAAGTCCTTAGAAACAATTCCAAGAATCTGGAAAATAAGTCTCACAAAAGAATTCCATACATCCAGTGTGCAGAGTAGTTTAAAAGTGATTTGACCACTGCCCACATAAAAGATCCATATTTGAATGTGAAAGGAGATCCTCGTAGCAGAGGGAAGTTACAAAAAAGTTCTCTGGCAACAAGGTGAGGCCTGACATCTTCAATTTTTAGACAACAGTGGGTTCCTAGCTGTAAATGCAATCTAACACTGGTACAACTTACCATTGGATACACTGGATCCACAGTTGTCTAAAGTATTTTAAAGGGGGGAAAAAAAAAAAAAAAAAAAAGCTATTTTCTCAGTTACAATCTCAGTCTTTGCTCTAAAGGAACCCTTCCCTCTTGTCTACAAACAATATGGCCCAACCAGAAAGCAAGCAAAACAGATGGTCACACTAGTCTTTCCAGCCTTTTAATTGATGAACTTCTGCAGAATTCTAAACATTATCACAGAAGCTAGGAAGAAAATAGAATAGAAGGGTTCCCTTTAAATAACACTTAATAATTCTCAATGAATTAGATAACATTGAGACAACAAATAAAAGAGCAGGCTATCAAAATGAGCCAAGTTTCACACTTTCTGACTTTTCTAATCATTGGCTTTTTAAAATTATTTCTCTCTAATGATATCTTAAAAATGAAATAGTTCAAGGAAACAAACTGGTAACTCCAAGATCTTGTCAACGGTTTACATATTTTTTTATAATCCACAGATATCTTTCTACAGTACCCAAGTGATTCTACAGTTTGCATTTGCTTGATTGCTACTTACCTCTCCTCCCTGAACGGGACATAAGAGGGAAAGTACCAGTTAAGATACTTTCAAACACTGGATCAGGCAATTCTCTCTCCAGTTCTGTAGAGTCTTCCTGTTCCCACCACGGAATGACCCCTGTAATTCCACATGCTCCACCAGATTCATTTTCATGAAACCAGTCACTCTGCTCATCATCACCTGTGTGAAGGCAGTGTCCCCCCAAAAAAAGAGGGAGGAGCAGAGAAGATAAAAATCAGATGTTACCATCAATAAACCCTCTGACAGGACAATTATTTCTTGTGCTTTATTGCTGTATAACAATTACTCATACATAGCAGCTCTATTTGGAAAACATTTCTCAATAGCATGACAAGCGTTGCCATCAATGAAGCCACATAAAATGTAATGTTTTAAAACCAATTTACAATAGTGAAAAACAATAATAAACTAGTTAATCCTTTGGCAATAACTGCGGGGAAATCCATTTAAGTTACTGCACTTTACATATTAACAAAAATCAAGCCTTAATCTCCTGCAGGGAATTAAAAGGTATAAAACTGTGAAACTAGTTTTTTGCAGCTGATAATGGTATATAATTAGCTTAATTTCATGATTTGTATGGCTAGTAAAAGGGAAAAACAATCATGAACAGATGTGACTAAATGAAGTTAATCTGATTAAGTTCATTTAGAAATAAGTTTTGAAAAAGTTGATTTTAAATGAAAACTGACAGTATCATGCGATTGAGAATATACTGCATTATACCACAAAGCTGGTCATTTTTATTGACAATATTTACAGATGTAGCATTTAAATACCTGGATTTAAAGTCAAAAGCAAGACAAGACTGAAAATCTGACCTTAAACTTAGCTCAAACACACTGACAACTAAAAATAAAATTATGCTTGTTTTAAAACATGTTCTTTTATACAAACCAAGTAGTTTGTGGAAGATCTGAAAATACCTTCATAAGACATGGCAAATTTCCTTTCTTACACCCAGAAATTAGATTGCAAAGTATGTGCTTGTCGTGCTTTAACCCCAGCCCACAACTAGGACCACACAGGCTTTCACTCACTGCCCCCTCTCTCCCTGCTCCCAGTAGGGTAGGGAGGAGGAGGAAAAACCTCAACTCATGGGTTCAGCTGAAGACAGTTTAATAGAACAATAACAGAAGAGAAAAATAATAATAACGGTAAAAGAATACATAAAATGATGTGATGCAATACACTTGCTCTCAACACCCAACAATCGGTTGCCCAGCTCATCTGGAGCAGTGATCGTGGATTCCTGCCCCCTGGCCAACGCCCATTTATATACTGAGCATAACATCTACGGCATGGAATATTCCTTTGGCCAGCTTGTCCTGTCTATGCTCCCTATGGGAAGCTGAAAGAGTCCTTGACTTAATACAAACATTACTTAGCAACAACTAAAACAACATGTGTTATCAACATTATTCTCATACTAAATCCAAAACACAACAGCTACTAGGAAAAAAAATTAACTCTATTCCAGCTGAAACCAGGACAGTGCTGTATATTTTAATTCTACTTCAAAGTATTGCAACCATGCCTCACTATTGCTGCATATAAATTATTTGCTTGGCATTTCAATTTTTAATTAGGCAGAACTAAGCAAGACACACATGCAAGATTTATTAGACACAATTTTCAAGAACAAAAAGCATTCATGTAAAATTTCATTGCCGCTCAACCCCACAATGGGATAATACAAATCATGAAAGCTCAAGCTAAAATTTGAGGAAAAATAAAATTCAATGCACTCCAAATGAATTTTTGCAGTGAAAAGAATACTGCAAGACCAAGCACAAGTGAAAGTGGCTGTAAACATTCATTCATCAGGACAAGTACTTCAAGAAAATATAGAATAATTAAGACCCCTCACTGGTCACTCACAGGTGAAATGTGAACCTTACATCTTTAGTGATCACTATTACAAGCAAAATCAGCAGAGGCTAGAGAATAGGAATTTTTAGATGGAGGAAGGGGAAAACAGAGGCGGAAAGAGACACACAGGTCCTAGTAACTTTTAAGTTTCTTTACATTCCTTGGGCATTTTAGATTACTCTCTATATTTATTCTGATCCTCATTTATAGATATGACGTTTCACAAAGGCATTCACCATTAATTCTATCCTCATTTTGTTACAGCCAGGTATGGTTTCTCTGGAAGATGTCTAAGAGACAGTGGTTGTGGTGGAGGGAGAATCACACCTTTTCATTAGATTGATCTGTGGTTCAGAATTAAGTTTGAGCTCCTTTGTTTTGGTTTTCCAAACTTTTACACAGATACACTTTGTTTGAGTATTTTGTCATAAGATGAGAGCTTTAGACAGCTTGACTAATAAGAAATACTACCAGGAACTCAAAAAAAGTCTTGTTATACAATTCAGCTATGAAAATAAGTATAGAATTCTGAAATTGAATTTCACAATCAGCCCAAGAACAGAAACCTGTGAGAGGCACGAAATACAGGCTTGGAAGAGACAGAATTTAAGATGGGGTTGGTGGACTGCAGGATAAGGCAAATAGTGGCTATGGAAAGAAACTACTATCTTTGCTATATGCCCAACAACAGCTCTTTGGGAAAACATACAAAATGACTTTTCCTTTTTGTGCAATAGGAATATTAGTATGTTAAGCAACCATCTGTTAAGACATCTTACCTGTTATGCTATTATACACTTCCCTAACCACTTATGCTGCTTTTTGCCAAAGGCAGGCTTGAGATCTAAACCTCACAGGCTTTTCCCACCTGACAGCAGAATCCAGGTATACCTGGTTTTTGGCTTCCCTGTCTGTGTACTTTAAACAACTCTGAATCCTTTGACTATTTTCAATCATGTAAACTTGAGGCATGCATAAACCTATTATTACTATTCTCTACTAGCACCCACAGGCATTTTGTTTACCGGTTGCTCCACCTTGAAGGGATGCCATTTTCCAAAGGCGTCAGGGAAGGCAACTGCATTTAATCAATTCCCAACCTCATATCTATAGGCAATATAACAGAGAGGCCTCCCTGCTCAAGAGTTTGGTAACCAAATACTTGGATTTTATCCTACTTCACTTCCAGCTCTCAAAAGGCAACATAGTATCACAGCAAGCATGAACTTAGAAGAATTAAAAATACAAAGCAACATTTTTGACTTCAAAATACTTCAAAAGATTCACTACACTGTCCTTTCCTCTTAGGGATGCTGATTCAGCACAAGACTACAGCAAATTATTGCATTCTTCCAAGTTACAGGAAAGGTAAAAGGACCTCCAGATCCCCAGAAACTGATCTCCAAGCCCATGCATTCTCCTAGCCACATATTTAAAATACAGCAAATTTTTTTTGTTGGTAATGCTAATGCTTCAAGGAATTTAAGGATATCATGTGATCTCAGCTTTACGTTGATCTCTACCACTGTGATCCACATGCAATATTAAGATTTCAACTACTTAGTTTATACACAACTACTTCATGTTATTGCTTTATCACCTGCAAAGACTATAAACTAATAGGCACAACAGTTCAAAACTGGTGGTGATTACACCTAGCATTGCACATTCCATTTTTTATATATTGAGACTGACACCTGCAGCTATTGAGATGCTATACAAGGTCCAAATTAGTGTCTTGCTAGAGAAGACAAAAGGATGGAATTCTCAAATACTGAATCAGTAGTGGGTCATCTTTATAAAGGACACAGTAATGAATATATGTTTAATCATAAAATAATGAACAGCTATCTTTAAAGGCTTAGCCACATGACATTCCCTGACCTTCTCCAATTTTAACTGTTTAACTCTTTATTAATATAATTTCCCTTCCTACTTGCTTAGATCTTAAAGGACATTTTAAGTGCTGCAGGTCATGATTTAAGAGGTCTTATGTCAAACTTTGAATTTCCCCAAGTGTACTAGTAGGTGTAGATGGATGGGGAACACAGAATAGAGTGTTTTATTTGCCATAACCACACTATAAAATTCATTAAAGAATGTACTTGCAATTTGACTTTTTTTTTCCCCAAAAACATCTATATATCAACTAGTATTTGAATAATGTTACAGTTTTGTTAACATCGTGTTGAAAACTTAACTTATAAAATGCCTTTTAACTTACAAATTGCCTTTGTAAAGCGCACCTGTAAAATGCCCTGAAACTGCAGATGATCCTACTAGCTAGGCCTACAATAGACTTGTATTAGATGTTGCAATGTAAGATTAGACTTTTTGCTTCTAAATTCTTCTTGCAGAAGTTTTGTACACCTGGCATAACACTGCTTATCATTAAAGTTTTTAATAACTGCAAAACAGCCATTTATGAAAATGCGATTAGGAACAAAGGAGAGAGTAGGAAAAAAAAGGAAAGTCACGAGGATTTCTGATACATATGCTTCAGTCACTGTTCAATCACTTTGTTGGCACTTGCATACTCCAGGGCTCAAGGGCCTGACATACGCATAGGATTTTGGTTTTTTGCTAACTATATTAAATCTTACACCAAAGTTGGCTAATTTACAAACCTCTGAAAAAAAATACAGCCCGTAAGAATTCACTTGAGATTTGTTAATAATTCAGCAGCTATCTTCTCCACCGACTGTACCCGCACTGAGCATTTTCTATTCTCTTTAAGCTTTTTCGGGCTAACTGTACAGGGTATGCAATGTTTCACAGAAGAGAAACATTTGCCACATTTGGATTGCAAAACATTCGGTACCAATTACTTCTGCCAGAATTAGTGGGATAAAGCACAGCAAGAGAGCTGCTTTTGCCCTCTCCCATGACCTGACGTGAGCACCTGGATAACTTGGAAAAGGAGGCCAAGCATGGCTAGGCCCCGATGAGGACTTCATAGGAACAAAACAAATCAAACAAAAAACCCCTGAGACTGGAACAGAGGCAGGCTGGAAAGGAAAAGGGTATAAAAGTTTTTGAAAAACGGTAGATGGCACACCACATATTAAAAGTCAAACACAGGATTTTCAAGTCTCAACAATTTTCTTTTACCATAGCAATTGATGGCAATTAAAATATATTTAGCAATTAATCCACTACTACCCCCAATTACAGCTTGGTTTTCTTAAATCAAATTATAGAAGTTGAAGCTCTTCTGAACACAGAAGAGTACAGTTACTGTGGTGTTATTTATTTCCATTTGTTTTCTGAAACAATTTTGGAAAATAGTAAAAGTTGCAAGGTCAGGCACTCCAAAGTTCAGAACTAAACATTCAACTATTTAACTGACTAGCCAATTGCTCGAAGAAATTGCTGCTTGAGATCACTTTCTTTTCTAGAATGTCTGCCCCATAGGATGCATATGCTTTGGGAATTAATTAGGGTTTTATAAAGAGTATTTGTCTGTAATAAATGAGATATGGTTCTTAATCTCAGAGACACAAAATGAACAATTGTTGCCCTGGAGAACAGGATCGTCTTGTCCTCTGCTACCCAAACTTCTGAATGATGGCAGGCACATCATTTAAACCAAGTATTTCACCAGGCGGCACTAATCAAATCTCTGGTTCTCCACTTGAATTAGCAGAAACCTGAAGTCAGAAGTGCAGAAAATCTGAACCACAAATGAGGTAAAGATGCTGATGTTCTGAACATATATCCTGGAGGAGGGACACTGGGAAGACAGGAATAAGAGTCTAGCTTTTAAAAACAGACAACAAAATATGCCAGTTCTGCGCTTAAAACATCTTCATCCTGTCCTCTTCCAGCTTCGTTTCTCTCACCTAGGCTTTTTCTTTATCAGATTTATTTTCTCCTTCATTCTTTACAATTTTTTATGTGTCTTAGCTCAGCTATAAATTAATTCACAGAGATAAAATAACCTCATCTTACTTCATAATGGGAGTACAAAGATAAAGTTACTAGCATTTTCTTTGGGGGGAATAAGTATTATTAGAAAATAAACAATTTTGGTTTTACAGCAGGATTTCTGACTGTACTTTCACGGAGAGCCTTCACAAAACCAAAGCTATACTACAGATCTAAGAATGTCTGAGATCCAGTATGAAGCTAATGGTCTTCTATTCAGATCTGCAAACTAACTAGTTCAAAGTAGAGATTAAAAAAAATAAAATAATGTGTTGTTTTGACAATATCCTTCCCAAGCTTAATTATTGCTTTTTTATTTAAATTTCAGAATACCATTTAAGGTCTAAGGCTTTCTGTTTGAAAATTACAACCAAACTGAATCAAGGTTCAAAAATCAGGCAGGCAAAAATAAGAATTATAGCTCTATAGTAAAGAACCAATGCTAAAACAGGTAACATCACAGCAGTGGAACAACACCGTTGTTCATCGATCCCTTCTCTTTTCTCCTCCCACAAAATATATAAAAAAAAAAGAGAAAGTAACTGAGATATTTTCAGCCTTATTATTCAAAGATTTACAGAATCACAGAATTTCAGAATGGTCAGGGTTGGAAGGGACCTCTGGAGATCATCTAGTCCAACCCCCCCGCCAGAGCAGGGTCACCTACAGCAGGTTGCACAGGACAGCGTCCAGGCGGGTTTTGAATGTCTCCAGAGTGGGAGACTCCACACCCTCTCTGGGCAGCCTGTGCCAGTGCTCCACTACCCTCAAAGTAAAGCAGTTCCTCCTCATGTTTAGATGGAACTTCCTATACTCAAGTTTGTGCCCGTTACCTCTTGTCCTATCACCAGGCACCACTGAAAAAAAAATCTGTTCCCATCCCCCTGGCATCCTCCCTTTAAGTATTTGTAAGTATTAATAAGATCCCCCCTCAGTCTTCTTTTCTCTAGACTAAAAAGACCCAAGTCCCTCAGTCTTTCCTCACAAGAGAGATGTTCTAATCCCCTGATCCTCTTTGTAGCCCTTTGCTGTACCCTCTCCAGCAGTTCCCTGTCCTTCTTGAACCGGGAAGCCCAGAACTGGACACAGTACTCCAGATGTGGCCTCACCAGGGCAGAGTAGAGGGGGAGGATGACCTCCCTCGACCTGCTGGCCACGCTCTTCTTGATGCACCCCAGGATGCCACTCGCCTTCTAGGCCGTCAAGGCACATTGCTGGCTCATGGTCATCCTGTTGTCCACCAGGACTCCCAGGTCCCTTTCCACGCAGCTGCTCTCCAGCAGATCAGCCCCCAACCTGTACTGGTGCATGGGGTTGTTCCTCCTTAGGTGCAGGACCCTACCCTTGCCCTTGTTGAATTTCATATGGTTTCTCTCTGCCCAACTCTCCAGTCTGTCCAGGTCACACTGAATGGCGGCACAGCCTTCCGGCGTGTCAGCCACTCCTCTCAGTTTTGTGTCATCAGCAAACTTGCCGATGGTACACTCTATCCCTTCATCCAGGTCATTGATGAATATATTGAACAGGACTGGACCCAGTACCGACCCCTGAGGGACACCACTTGTTACTGACCTCCAACTAGACTCTGCACCACTAACCACAACCCTCTGAGCTCTATCTGTCAGCCAGTTCTCAATCCACCCCGCTATCCATTCATCTAACCCACACTTCCTAAGCTTGCCTGTGAGAATGATGTGAGAGACAGTGTCGAAAGCCTTGCTGAAGTCAAGATGGACAACATCCACTGCCCTGCCCTCATCTATCCATCCAGTCACACCATCACAGAAGGCTATCAGATTAGTCAGACATGACTTTCCCTTGGTGAATCCATGTTGACTACTGATAACCTTCTTTTCTTCCAGATGCTTTAGGATGACACCCAGAACAAGCTGTTCCATCATCTTTCCAGGGATGGAGGTCACGCTGACTGGCCTCATTATCGAAATAATTTAGTTCAGAATTTAAGGACAAAAATATTGATACAAATATATTAGAAGGGTACTTCAAAAATGTGTGAAATTACAAAATGTGGTAGGTCATGTTACATATAAATATAGAGAACAAAAGTTCAAAAAATTGCAAGTCAGAAGAGAAATTCATATAGGGAAGTAAAAGCAAATCTTTGACATGTCTCGTATTAAAATATTTTTCATCTGAAGTTAAAAGATCAATCTAAACTTTTGAAGACAGCCTAATTCTTAAAAAAACCCTTTATGTTAGCACAACTAAAACCAGATACTCAGACTGGGAGGCACAGTTTACGTAGCACTGTTGAACAAGAAAGGTAACACCTCTGTTCTAAGTCTGAAAAATCATCTTCCTATTCCAACGTTAAAACAGAAGATAAAAAAAAAACAAAATACAAACAGAAGAGACTGAATTACACATTAGAAAAAGAAAAAAAACAAAACCAACCCTAAAATCCAAACATCCCTTTAACCTAGATCACTACTGTGGAATGGGCCACAATGTGTTTTCTTCCACACACTCAAGTAGTCTGTGGCAAACTGCATAAGAAAATCTCCATTACCATTAACTTAGAATTGCCAACAGACAAGCAAGCCTTAGTCACCTGAGAGACTACGTTTGCCTCACTTTTGCATACTGTCAAAGACAGTGAGTTCTTGGTCCAGGAGCTGGGCACTAAGATGCTAACATAATACAGGTAAACGTGTTGTACTCAAAGACGGCTATAAACACTAAACCTGAAAAAAAAGTCTTATACTTCCATCCTCAATAATTTTATCACATGAAAACATGTGAGAATATTACGCATACTAAAAGAAAATTCTGAATTTTCACAGCATTTTAGATTAAAGAAAAATTTTTCAGAGGGGAGAGACTTTAAACAGCATGTATCTTCTAATCTCAATCTTAGACTGTTGAAAAAGTTGTTTGTTTGCAAGTACTTTTCAAACAAACTACTGAATGAAAAAGAACTATAAAATCCTGCCATATCGACTTGCAAGAAAAGAAAGAAAAAAGCCACCTCAAAAATAGTTTGAGAAGCATACTATGATCATAGAGTCCTGTCCAAAATTTGGAGAAACTGAAGAATTAAAATTTAGTATAGACAATCTTTTGGAGATGCTCAAATTATAGGAAGTTGATTATACTACAGAGACTGCTTCTCAAGACAGCTTTTGACTAAGTTACAGATTCAGGACACCCCCAGTAACATTTTGAAAAACCCAGAAAGCAAGCTATACTTCAACTCATTAAAATCGTAACAACAACTGAAATACGGTAATCAACCTATGTAATGACTTGTAACGCTTACAGAATTTCAACTGATGTGGTTTGAGGGGTGGAGAAGGGAAAGATTGTTTCAATACCTTGTCTTCCCTCATCATTGGTAAACAAACCAGCATCACTGCTGCTCAGGCTGCTGGATTCGCTGTAATAAGAGAAAGAAAGAAACAGATCAAAAGAACAATTGATCTTTCAGTCGTAAAATTTTAAGAGGACAAGGCTGTGCTCAAATTGAACTTAAGCCCAACAGAGATCTGAAAGAAAATAGGATGTTTTGGGTTTTTTTTTTAATCAAACTGCAAATATCCTAGTTCCATTAAATACAAAGCATATTATTTTTGGCACATAAAGCCACGGGAATCTAATGGTACCCTGAGAGTAAGCCAGATGTGACTGCAACGAGGTGCTGACACAATTGATGCATTTTATTATCTGCTTCCATCAAATGCCCACTGCTTCTTTCTTATGCTGTGCAATTCAGCTTGATCCTGGAACGCCACTGCTCAATAAAATAGGAAAAGTCTCAATCAAAAGCAGCCTAATCCTCCTTTCAGCACATGAAATATTAGAGTCTGAAAATCGAATTACCTTTCTAAACATCATTTGCGAGTATTCTAGAAAAGACAGTGCTTAAGGTTTCCTGCCATACTACTTGGGAAGAAAGAAAAAAGTTTTAACAAAGGTAGCCAATTAAATTAAAATAAAGGTCACCCTGAAGAAAATAAGTATGATCAATGATCATAACATCAACAAAAAAGGCAAGATGCAGTTTACTTTTCTGTGACTTCCATCATAGCCCTAAAATTAGAATGCGTGTACACAACATGCACACACTACTCTAAATTCAGACATCAATAGGTAAAGTATTTTGTTCTTTGCTGTATACACATTGTTACAAACAATATTCCACCTGTCTCCAAACAGTAAAACAGACTTGCCTTTTAATAACACACATCAGAATTCGGTGAGTTTCACATGAAAGCATTTTCTGTAAACCATTTATTTCATTTTTTGGTCAATAGAGTAGCTTGGCTAAGGAAGGGATCTTCTCACCAAAATTTAATCACATTTTATTTACAGCAAGATGTAAAACAATTTGAAAAAAAAAAAATCACTTCACCACACATCAAGTACAAGTTATAAATACTATGGCTATTCTCAATGTTCCATACAAGCTATTTATAAGAACTTGTGATCTGTTTACCTTTCTGCACTTATTCATATTAAAACGTGCATGCAGTCCTATACTTGAATTCAACTGGTTTCAGTTATTTGTAGTTACTTTCTAATAAGTTAGTTTTATTTTTAAATAACTAGTACACTTCGGAAAATTATTGCCTTTTAAATGTTTATCTCTTACAAAAATAATCCTCTATTTTTTTAAAGCTTGTAATATGAATCCTGTAAAATTAGTCTAATTTGTGTTTAATTATAAGTATACATTTGTTTTTTGTATCTTCCTTTGGGAGGCATCCCAACAGGATTTAAAACACAATATGGAGACACATCGGGAGACAGAAAGCAGTGATTTTTTTAAAAAAAGAATTATATACATAAATAAGGATTTTATATATATATAAAAAATAATATAACTATAAAATTATATATATATAAAAGAATATGAAAAGACTCATATATACATACACCTATCTGTGAAGATCAAGTTTTCTGAATCCTTGCTGTATCTTCTGCTTATCCATATTCTCACTGTATAAGCAATACTTATACCATCTTTTATACATAATAGAATTAGAACAGACCTAGGCACTTGCACAAATGCCCTAAGCAGAAAAAAGATGACAGGCATGCAATGAGATTGGAACCATCTTTAATGGGAGAGACAAAAACTTGAACTTCCTAATGCTGCAAATCCTAGTTGTTCTTTCTAGCAAGCACCCCATTCTCACTTTAATTACAACTTAGATGGCTTTACTGTCCTTGCATCTCTCACTGTGCACAGTTTTACATCATACATCTCAAAGAAAAACTTCTCTTTTCATAGATTCCTCTTGTCCACGTATTGTTTAATTGTACTATTTAAAAAGAAAGTTAGGAAATGCTTTCAACTCTAGTATTTCAGCAACTTTCCCCGCCAAAATTTCCAGTTTTAAGAATAGTCTCCTTCCTTTTTTCTTTTTTTTTTTTTTAAAAAAGATATTTTAATTGTGCAATAATTCTTACTGAAGGACTAGCCAGTTCCTGAAAACATAACCACTTGAAATTTTAAAATTACATATAATAATGTTTCTTTTTGGGGTGTGGTTTGTTTTGTTTTGTTTTTTAAAATCAAACACCAGCATATCCATGGCAGTCACAGTGTTCATTCTCTTCAGGCCACAGTCAAACAGGGTAGGAATTACAGCCGAGATAATTACTACATGGCAGTCATTTAACTGAATAAATTCAAAACCTCTAGAATTAATACATTAATATCTAAGTACATGAGAGCTGTTACAATGGCATTTATTTCCAGTTTTAATATAATTTTGTATTGTATATTTCTAATTCCTTCGCTTTGTACTGAGAATTCCTCTCCCAGCAAGACTTCCAGGAAAAAGAAAAAAGCCACAAATTCCTTTTAGTCCTATAAAACAGGCTATGCAAGCAAAAACTTGCAAGGAACAGCTTTGCTATCCAAAACGCTTTCCACAGCTTTATTTATACACTTGTGGAAGCAAAGAAGAAGTAATTTTTATTAGTTATTCTTACTAGCGAACTGTCCCATACCTGGGTTTCATTTGAGGCTTGTGACCTTTGTTTACTAACCAAGCCTGTCCCCAAGGACTGAGCAGCCACTGTTTTGGCAGTGACTGGCAGGCTGGTGGGTGGGTGGGCATCTGAGTTTCACTGCTGCTCGCTTTCAAAAAGGGCAATCGAGATTTCTCCTCTATTTAGTCACTTAAATGCAAACAATTGACAAACCTTGCAGAATTAAATATCATCCAGAACTCCATGCATTGCCAAATTCGGCTGGAACTGGACAAGCATCTAAGCATTGAGGACAAGGGAGAATGAGCAAAAGACAGGCTCTGATCACAAAAATCTCATTTCCAGGGCTCAAAATCAACCTCACAGGAATTCATCTTTGGGATCATTTAGATGCTGACATTTTAAGAGCCTGAAGACTCCTCCTCCTACTCCCGACCTCTGCACTTAAAAACCAGTTATTTTTGTGTTTGGTGTTTGAACACACACAGATAAAAGCCTGCAAAAGAAGTGTCACTTAGCATTTTTAATGTGCACTTCAAATATATATGTTATTTTAAAGTAATTGCCTGCATACACTGAAAACTTCTCCTCCCCAGTTTTAGATCCAAGCAATTTAACTCCCATTAAAAAAAAATATTGGTGTTGTTTTTTAAAAACTGAACTTCTAAAAAATTGATCCTTTTTTTTGGGGAAAATTATTAAACTATATGCACACAAATGTACAAAACTAGGACAGCTTTGATTACTTTTTATTTTTCCTCTTCCAGCAAGTGTTGCTGAAGCGTAAGTCTTACCCAAGACAAGACGCTTTGTTAGCTCTCCATATCTTGTGCAATCTTGCAAAACTAATGTTCTCTTTTAAAATATCAGCTTTTACTTTTAGAACATACTCTTAGGAACAGTTTGCTAGCTGTTTCAGATTCTTCCAGCTAAATAATCTCAAGCAATAGAGGCACTACTGCATTTAAGTAAAGTTTGTTTAAAACAAGTTAAAATTATTCACACACAAAATATTCAGATACAGTACGGACTCAAGATGCTTAGATATGGTGGATTTCTAACCACATTGGAATGCATTTCTAATTCAGTGGTTTCCAAACCTTTTGGTACAGATGACCATTGTGAGAAATTCGATAGAGTGACAGACCATCACTCAACCATGTGCATGAGCAGAAAACACTATGAAGATAAGAATGGTTTTAAAGGCTATTTATTGGGGCGAGAGACAAATATTTAAAGTGTGATTTGAAAAACACCACCATTTGGTGTAACAAAACATTGAGCATTTTGAAAAGGAAGATGAATTTTTAAATCAATAACATTTCTTTTGTGAAAAAATAAAAAGATATTCAGACTGACCTGGAAGTAGCACAGTTTTGAGAGTCTGCAGGGGATTTTCATATTGATCACTCTTTTCTCCACTCAGAAATTAGCTACAGAATTTTTGAGTTGGAGAACAGTTATCCTTGTAGCATAACAGAAAACTGTTTTACAAATACAAAAGTGATAAGACTATGGACATATGATAAACAATGCAATGGTTCCTAGCTCCAAGGAAAATCTTAATCATCTGTCTTTAGGTACCAAACGTGGGAGAACAGACTTCCAGTATCATCAAGGAAGAGGGAAGTTTTCTAAAGGCTTCCTGACAACACCCACTCCTGTCTTGCACATGGAAGTGAGAGTGAGATGTCTGAAGCTACTCTGGATGCCCTTAAGGACCACTTCTGCTGTAGTAATTAAGACTTTAGGAACACTCTTTAAGACTCAGGATTCATTCAGCTCTTTCAGCTGCTTATTGTCCGCAGGTGAGGGACAAAGCTAGTATGTAATAAAAAGACTTAGAAGAACTTTTCCAACCTTAATTGGAGTTCGCCACTTACCAATACTGCTGTTATTACAGTAACCAATCTGTCTGCTGTGGTCAAAACCCCTGGGTACTCTCTGCATCTCAATTCTACCTCTCCAGTAAGGAAAAGGCTTAACAGTTTACAGATAAAATGCCCACAAAAAGCCAGGGACACTAGTGCTGTCAAACAACTGACCAAAATTATGTGTTCTAATATGAGTCTTTCTTGTTGACAGTTCTGCATTCAGAACCAGGCACATGGGATAAACATAATCAAGCTTACCAGGCCCTGCAGGTAACATCCCTTGTGCATGGTGGAAAAATGACTTACACCTTACTGTGTTGTCAAAATAGTACTTTGGAAACAATTACCATTGTAGTATGACTGCTGTCTGGAATGAATGGATGAGGTATACTGCCAAAGGGTCATCATTCCCCCATTTTTCTAATGGTAAGCTCAGGTGTTTCTGAACTGTAAATTGGTTTTTGCATTTCGTAAATGATGTATATCCTTGGCAACCTGCAGACTTTTTATGCCCATGACACATAAGAACATACTGTCTAAATGGTGACTCTAAACACTGACAACCTTTCTGATGAATAGAGATAACAATCAAAGCACCAATGTCTGGAAATTGGAAAAACACTTAATTTTTGTCTTAGAACTGTCACCAGTTGAAATACCCAGAAAAAAAACATATTAATCACTTGTATATTCTGTCATTCTTAATCTTGAAACAATTCAAATGTATTATTTCAAGAAACTGTTTTCTTGGTTATTCCTCTGCTACATGACTGTTTTATGTTGAATTCTTTAAGCTAAGCAACTCATATATATTAAAAATAGTAGACTTAAAAAAACCACAACAACCTAAGAGTAACTTCTTAAAACAGAGACTATTGATGTTAGCATATTAACTCTGAAATTAAAGAAAAATCCAAAGATTCCCAATACAAGCAAAAGTAATAAAAGCAAACAACTAGTATCCAAAGTTTCTGTAAAAAGGAAGAGAAAGAATAACCTGTCACTCATGTTCTCATCTGAGCCTTTTTGCTCCTCATACTCCATTTTGTCCTTATTTGCTTGGTTCACTTCTTCATTCTCTATGACTACTCCTTCATCCAAGATTTCCGGTCCTTGTCGAGCCGCAGCTACTTTTCTCTTTTTTACTTTGCTCTTGGAAAACTCTTGGTGTTGGTATGATTTATTGTTATTGTCCATTTCTTGATCTCTGCTGTTATCCTGCTGTTGAGTTATTGTCAGTGCATTAGAGACTTCTGATGGCAGATCTATTGCCATCCGTTTTACCTTTCTTCTCCTGCGCAAAGTTCTGTTTCCCAAACTGTCAACAGCCAAATCTGGTTCATGCCACAGAGGTCTTTTGCCTCTAATGTTATTTAAGTTTGAGGAAGGCCTACGTTTAGCAACCAACAACTGGTCATCAGAGTCACTGTGGTCTTTCTTATTAGCATGATTCTCCCTGTAGTCTTTGTTTGATTCTTCTAAACTGGAATCAGAACCTTCACTTAAGCAGTGACCAGTCTCCCAGGGATGATGGGTGGTAAATGAACGTCTTTTTCGTCCCCTCCTTTTCCTTGCCTGTCGCTTTAGAAGACAAGACACACTTCGAGAATGATCTCCAGTATCAGCAAAACCTCCTCTGGCTTGCTCTGAACTTTCTTCCAGTGCTGAGACTAGATCGTGAACCAGCTCCTCCATAGTCCTACTGAAATGCCTATATATTTCAAGAAAAAAACAAAAACAAAAACAAACACACAAGAAAACAACAAATGAATCGGAAGTGTTAAGCATAAACTCTAACAATTTTACCTGCCAAAATATTTTTAGTCACTTTGATCAAGGTAGTCTTAATGTCCATCCTATAAAGATTACTGTATTCCTACTGAGAGACAAAACCTTAACAACCAGTCCCATGCAATTTGCAACACATCAGCACACATTCCTTTTAAAAGGTATCTTCCCAAATTTCAGTCTTGGAAAGAAGCTGGGGGGTGGTGGGTTCCCTGTTTGGTTTTGATCTCACTATTACTGTTTGGTTTTAATTCACCTCATCAGATTTTTATGATTTTCAGGGATTCCACATGAAGGGAACATCAGCAAAGACCATTCACTCTAACTGCAAGTAGAGAGCACATCTTAAAGTTATGAATGGGAAATGGAATACAATGTTCCTCCTTGACAGTATATTAGGGGGTTCCGTTAAAGAGTTGTCATTATAATAAAATATTTTAAAGGATAATTATCTTTTGATGCTGCCTAAATGCCAAAATGAAGTTAAGAAAGTAATTCTTTGATAATATATGACTTTTTTTTTTTAAAGAGAAATTAATTCTGTCCTCCCAAATGGCTGATATCTGTTTGATTTTTTAAAAAATATTGATTCAGTGGAGTGATATTAAGTTGAGAGAATACCCTGCTACAGGTAATGCTAGAGTTGCAAACGCAGTTTCCCATCACATGTAGGCACTCACACCCATAGAATCACAAGCTTGTATAAGGAAAAATATCCCTAAACACAGTGTCTGATTAAGGCCTTATCTTTTTAAATGTTTTGCCCCTTCCTCCTCAAATTTCACTAGCATTTGGCATGTAGTTAACTCACGCTTCAGTAAGTTCACCCATGCATTACATGAACGTAATTACGAAAAGAAGAGAAAACACGAAGTGATTGCTGAACTCCAATCCTTCTCTGAAGGCTGTGAACCTTCTCTGTAAACACAGCAATCAGATTCTCAAATCAAAGCATCAGAAGATCCTTTCATTGAGGTAAAGCAGAGAATAATGTTCACACTCTTTACTATGTTACACCAACTGATAAATATAGAAGACACTCAGTAAATTATGTAGAGGACATTTAAAAACAAGACTCTTCAGTTTGCTTTACAATATAAATTGATGGAAGAATTAACAAATAGCTTTTTAGCCACAGCAGCAGAGCTGTAGATGTGCAGACAATCCGGACACATAGCACACAGGGTCCCTCTTTCACCTGCCACAAACTCCAATGTTAACAGTACTTAATGGTAACGACTGAATCAACAGTTATGATCATAAAGTTCACAAATTTTAAATATTAATGGAGGAACCAAAGAGCATGTTTAAGGAGAAATCCAAACTGGTCATGGAATATCTTACCCAAAGAAATCATATATTCTCCCTTCCAGCCATTTTCAGAAATAGTTTTTTTAAACATTTCAATTGCAAGATCACCAAAAGCACAGAGAGTGGTAGAAACACAAGATCATTTTCAATTCTTGAAACTATCGTGTCAGTTGCATTTATTTCTCATACCTCTTTTTCCATCCTGCTGTAATCTCTAGTCCTATTACTCCCTCTTAACCTAACATTTTCTTTGGCCCTTAGTACAGCAGAATCATCATATTATCTTGTAAGGAGTGAGACAGCTCTGAAAGAATGATACACTTTCTCCTTAATCCATTTGGTTCACAAGAATCAAAACCTTCATAATCACAGAAAAATACTTCTCAGAAGCAAGAGAGGGAACACAGTAGGAAAAGCATTCCAAATGAAGCAACAATTTTCTGAAAATTCAGAGAGAAAGAGAAGAGTGGAAGTCAATCAACCTAGACATTACTTTGAGACATGGCATCAAAATGATTTAAAACTAATTCTTTGAGTTTTCAAAGTTTCAATTACTGTGAAGGGGTTTTGGGGTGTGTGTGGTGGTTTTGTTTGGTTTTTGCTTTTTCTTTTTGCTTGTGTAGTAGGAATGTCAACCGCCAGAGGCAAGTCCAGGTATATTTGTACAAGGTTCCCATCTTTCTCAGTAACTATAATTGCACAATGGGGAGGGCACTGCCCCTTTAGCCTTATTGTTAAACACCCATGAAGACAGCTATCCTTGCAGGTGTGTATATCAGAAATTAGATGCCCTTCAGATTTAAAGAGTTTTCTAATACTTTTGTGCTAATAGAACAGGAGCTATAAGACTCGAACAGACAAACTCCAGTACATTTATTCGGGTTAATTTGAGATACCAATTCCCCTAGCTGCCTGCCCAGCTCTCCTGCCACAGGCTTCACATTTGTAGTGAACTGACAGAAGTGGAGGTGCACCAAAAACTGAACTAGTAAGCTTAGACCTACATTCAGTTCTCAAAACAAACAGATTTCTGCTAACATGCCAGAATATGAACTAGCACATATAATCTCTTATAGCCCATTCTGCTACTACCCCTGCAGCACAAAGTAAAAGGGACAGGAAAGACATGGACAATAACATCTTGCACCACAGTTTATGATCAATTCAGTATCCCTAATCCATATGGATAACTATCACTAAAAATCAATGTAGCTCCTAGAGTGGATGTACCAATTTACTCCAGAAAATGGCATAAGTATAGTGACAAAGTTGCCTTAGTTCTATGAAATACTTCAAGATCAAACAGAATATATCCAGTTTGGATTTATATATCTGATCTAAACTTGCCTTGAATTCCCTACCAAATATGGTCAATACAGATGGTGTCAGATCAAAAGATGAAACTCCAGAGGAGTGAATACCCTTAAGTGTTTTTGAAGTAAAGGAATAAGATGATTCTTAAAAAGCCCTGAGCAGTAAGGCACTTACTTTCCATCAGACTATAACTTTGAATCTTACGCACTCCTGCAACTAATCTTTCCTATTGAATATCAGGTCTCTTCATAAGATCTGTACAGGGCAGCAACCTTGTTTACCCTAAAAATTATGGCCATGGTCTCATGTATAATATAACCATATCCTAACTGCATAACCTCTTGCACAGATCGGACAAATTAATATTATAATTATTTCAACATGTTTCCTTAGGAGGATTATGAGAATGATTTGATCTGTTTGGGACACTGGAAGCTCCTTTGTAATAGACTGAGACTAAAATACACATACCACAACAGCTTTTTATTCACATTGCACTTTCAACATGCCAGTGGTTCACATTAAAACTCCTTCTCCTGAAAACCAAAGAAATCTCTTGATTAATTTTATTGGAGTTCTCATTTCTTTTGCTATAACTGAAGAAAAAAAAATGGCAACAGCAACTAGACAGAAGAGTTAATCTGAAAAGTGTCTCCAAAATTCAAGACCGTATTTCTATTACAGCATTACTTATCAAACTCAGTTTTGCAACTTTCTCCATTGTTCACAACCAGCTGTCAAGCTTGTATTCCAAACCTATGAAGTAATTTTAATCATTGCTGCAGATATTACTGTAACAAAAATATTTGCATTTGAAATAGGTTGAAAAATAACTACAAGAAGCATTAAAGACATTACCAATGAGTACCAATTGCATTCAATAAGATGAGAAATTTCAAAGGTTGTAATAAGGAATGTAGAACAACATATTGAGGTACATAAAATATTAAGTTGAGCCATAGTTTAGCATGACTCACATAAGGCTATAAAAATGCTGTTACAGCAACAGCCCACAGCTAGCAATAAACTGTAATGTCTTCACCAGGAGAATATTCTACTTTACTATAGAAAAAAAAATAATCTAGTTTGCCTACACTGACCTTTACATTTATCTGAAGTAATTTTAATGTAGTTCACCACAGGCTGACCCATTTCCTCTCTAACTCTTACCAGAACAGATCATAAAAGTACTGTTGCAGGAAACAGCATAACTGCTCTCACATACTCCAGAGCAGTTCACACAGCTTTGTTCAGCATTAATATTTGTATTGCAACTCCTAATGGAAATAATAGGCTTTTTCAGTGAAAATCAAGTATCATTTTTGTTCACTTCCCACCTAAAGCCTATAACAATGTAGAGCTCTGACTGCTCACAAAATATTTAACAAATACTTACACACTGACAGGAAAGCTGATTTAGTTGCACAACTCACAGGGAGAGGCAGTATCTTTTACTAAACCAACAGCTGCATTTATATTTACCTTCTAGTTCTATACCTTTTCCTGTGAAATAGATACGGAGTTTCTTGCAGCTAAAGTTATGCTGCATCTATGTCTCATCAATTCTGATAAGAATCATAATTTTTGCTGCCTTCACTCTTATCACAAGCTAAGAGCACAAGAAAAATCAAGTAGTTCCCTGAACATTGGGATTATAAAACCTGACTTTCTATAATCCTTTCCTATACGGATTATCTGATGCCTCATAACACAGCTGTACTCACAGTGTACCTTTATGCTCAGACAGGTACCAATTTGAAACCCATTTCTCCACCTCAGAAGTTATTTTCACAAAGCATTAGAAATATTAGTTTTGAGACCTCTACTTTATTGATGAATGTGGCTGAAATTTAGATTGAACAGGTGCAAGTATTTGGGAGAGAGCAGCAGATGATAAATCTCACCACCTTGCCTGCAGAATTTACAGATTTAAAAAGAAGAAAAGAGAACTATCACGGTTCTTGGGATGCACAAAGGGGAAAGCAAAATGGAGCAACACAATTTAGTTAAAAGCACTAAATAGCGAGAGACCATGGTAAATGAGGAAATAACTGATAAACCTATGTTACGCAGAAGCTTATGGGTACATCAGAAACAGAAGTTGTGCCTACATTATTTAAACTTGGCTGTCATCGCACGGCTGTCACCAAAAGGAGGACAAAGCATCCAGTTCTACGTCCACGCCTATTTATGTCCTTAGATATTGTCTGCTGGGCAACCAGGTACACAAAGCTGCACAACAACCAAAATGCATTCTACCCCATACCAACCATTGCTGGGGGCCATAACAG